TCTTAATATCTTCTGCTTCTGTTAGGTCAGTACCATTTCTGTCCTTTAATCAAACCCATCTTTGAGTGAAATGTTCCCTTGATATCTCTAATTTTCTTGAAGAGATTTCTAGTCTTTCCCATTTTGTTGTTTTCCTCTATTTCTTTGCATTGATCACTGAGGAAGGCTTTCTTATCTCTCCTGACTATTCGACAAAAACATACATCTACCTAAAAACTTGTACATGAATATTCACAGCTGCATTATTCATAATAGCCAAAAAAAGTATAGCAACAACCTGTGGATCCATTAACTGATGATGGATAAACATAATCCTCAGTGGACAGCAGGGTCTAAAGACAGAAGGTACTTAAGGTACCAGCACCAAACAGAAGGTGTACAGTATAGGAAGTGATATGGAAAGAGAAAACAGGAAGGCTCTATGAGGGCCACACTGGATATCTGACCATGAATCAAGTGCTAGTAAAACAGTCTGACAGTTAATTCAGAAATGCATCTAGGAATAAAATTCTTGTCCATGGCATGGCTAAGCATCAGAGAAATCTATGCAACAGGATTTAGGCCCTGAGCATACCTGGGGATTTTAACTCAATTTTCTCAAGGGACAAAATTCCTCTACCTTGTAAATATAAGAATTGGTTCTGAGATGTGTATCTTAGTGTGTGCCAGACTAAGGCAGAACTGCCCTACAGGGAGAAACAATGACAAGGAGGAGAAAACAAAACCTCTTGAGACAAACTTGCCAACAAATACTAAATAGATTACAAAGTATATGAGGAAATCCAGCACCACTTAAAAATAATAACAAAGTACAAATAACTAAAATTCCTTGTGGAAAAATTAGAAAATGCAAATAAAGATAATTATATTTGTGTGCTAAGCAATTTCCTAAGGACTAAGCAATGAGTTAAATCTACTAACTTACAACTGCTTTTTAACTAACCTTAAAGACACTGAGGACTTTAAAAAAAAATGTGAAAAATCTAAATTAGAAATATAGGACTTCCCTAGTGGTCCAGGGGTTAAGAATCCACATTGTAATGCAGGTAACACTGGTTGGATCCCTGGTCCAGGAAGACCCCACATGCCATCGGACAACAAAGCCTCTACGCCACAGCTACTGAACCTGCGCTCCAGAGCCCGGGAGCCAGGCCTACTACTGAGCCTGTGTGCTCTAACAACTGAAGCCCGCCCGTCTAGAGCCCGCGGCCCGCAACGGGAGAAGCCACCACAATAAGAAGCCTGCACACTGCAGTTAGAGAGTAGCCCCCTCTCTCCGCAAGAGAGAAAGCCAGCCTGCAGCAACAAAGACCCAGCACAGTCAAATAAATACATAAATGTATCTTTATTGAAAAGAAATGTTTTTGTTTTCTTTAAAGAAATATATTGAGGCTATCTAATTACAACTATCTTTCTCTTTCAAAAACAGTGTATGTTATAAACTAAAACTGAAATGGGTTGAACATGAAACAATTAATGAAAAATAATTTTTTTAGGTTTTATTTGCAAAATGATACAGAAAATAAAACTCATTCAAAGAACAAAATAACTAACCTTAAAAAAACATGGTTTTGAAAAATTTTTCATTTCTCAGTTCTTAAGTCAAAATCTTTCACTTTTAGAATTTTCTTCCATAAAATCCTGAAGACTGGCTAAGATGAAATTTCAGGGGCTGATTTTTACATTATTTTAAATATCAAAGGAACACAAATTTGGAGGTTTCACTCAGTATTTCTAAGAACTTGTGTATTTCTCTAAAACATTTAACAAATTTGCTAATACAAACATAATTTCTTTAATCCATAAGACATTTTTACATTTCTCCCACATCCATCTCCATTCCTTAAACAACAAATAGAGCTTTCCAAATCTAAAGTATTTGGGTGAAATTACAACTAACCTTTATATATGCACTTGGGTAGATCTTATGAACAGCATCTCCAGGTGCACGCCCAGCTTCTCTGTCTAAGTAGTAGCTCTGTACAAAGACTGCATGGTCACTAAGACACCTGACCCAAACATCTCCTTCACCTTTACATTCCAACTGCACACCTTTGCCTATGTGCAACCTTAGGAAGAAAAAGTGAGTCATATTTCATTTTGATAGGTATTTAAAAATAAATTTTAGTGCAGACTACACAGCATACCCAATACTGAAAATTTTTAAAGAATAAAGGACATTATATTTTGGTTATAAACCATAGCCAAAAGACAGACAGCCACTGTTAATATTTTTCTGTTTCTTTCTTTAGTATCCTAGTCACATGTAATAATGATGAGCATTCACATAATGCTTATTATGTGTCAGAAACATTTAATATAAATTCTCATTTAACCTTCACATTCAATTAAAATTAATTTTACAATTCAGTTAATCATATCAATCAAATTTTAAATGCTCAACAGCTATGTGTGGCCAGTAGTTACTATACTGGACAGCACAGGTAAACCACTTGCTTCGTCACAGAAAATTCTACTAGACAGCACTGGCTTGGAGAGCAGATAATCTGCCAAAGGCACACAAATAGTATAGAGTCGAGATTATGTGCTTATACACACACATATTTCCTTAAAGAGTTGAGATCACACAATACTTAAAATTGTGTAAGTTTTCGTAAGTAAACTTTCATACATAAGTAAGCTTTCATAAGTATTTACATTTGATTATATAAACTTTTTATATTTTAATGACTGCATAAAAACAAAGGTTTATTAAAATTTACTTAAGCATTTTTCTTTTTTTATCAGTCTTTCATTATAAATAACACTTGCAGAAACATGTCTTCATTTTATGTTATTTCCTCTCAGTAAATCTGTAGAAATACTATACAATCAGAGGAAATAAAAACTAGCTTTCAAACTGAGTTCCATAGGGTCCAGTTACTATTAAAAACATAGAAAACTCATGAACTTTTAAAGACAAACTGTATTTTATCAAACAACAAACATCTACACTTAAAATGAAATGCTTACAAGTTCTAAATGTTAAAGATCATCTTTATTCCTTTATCTATATTCAAAAACATAATTTACACTGAAAAATACAGCCTCAAATAGAAGTTCAATTTTTAAAATGAACTAACTATACAACAATACCTTGCTCTCTCAATGGCTTCTGTCCTGTGGACATTGGAGAGCTGACCCAAGCAGAAGCGATCTCCTCCAGAAGGGTCCACATAGCCGTCGACAGTAACAATAGGACAGCTTGAGGGGACCTTGAATGTCTCTCCTACTTGAACATCCATCTCAAAGTAAGCGATGGAACACCAATACTCAGGAGCTATAGGAGACGAACGGGAGAAGACAGTTACTCGTCTGAGAAAGTTACAAGGCTCTCACTTTCACTCCATATGACAAAGCTTTTCTTAAAGGCTAAAGGAAGGGGAGAGCAACCAAAAGAACTGACAATGCATTACAAAGTAAGCACAGCCATGTCTTCTATTTTTCAGTTTATTACCTAGCATTCTTGAAGTTTAAAAAAAATCATTTTTAAAATCTGGAATTTTGTTCTTATTTCAAAGTACCCAATCAACAAGGAATTTAAAGAATGGAAACAATTAGAATCATAAAATCTTTACCATGGTGTTTCATCTGACTGCACATAATATGTTCTATGTAGTCTGAACTTTAAAAAAAACAAACAACACACAGATTCTAATACATATTTCAGAGAAGTGTTCTTGAGTAACATCTATCTATGGTATATATTTATAGATCCCTAAATGAGAGAAAGGACATAACCAAGTCAGACATTCAAGGCGAGAGAGTCAAAGTTAATTATACTCCAACTACATAGCTTCTGTGAGCAGGAATTTTCAACTGTCTCTAGGATGAAAGGTCATTTGTCCCATCTGTATTTTTGGTGAAGTCCATTCATGATAACTACTACCATTTTACCTTTGAGAATGTGTGTAGTGTATTCATTTAACAATAATAAATGATTTGAAATAATTTTAAATGATTGGGGGGAATGAAAGCCACTATCTGGTTTGGTATGTAAATATATCTAATCAAGTATTTCTAATTTTTGTTTGAGTACAATTATTACATAGAGCCCACATACATGGAAATTATTTGATTTTCCTTTTTGAAATAACAAGTATTTATGGGGTACATGAGAAATTACTGTAGGCACTACATATACAGCAGTGAACAAGGTAGCTATTGTTAGCTACTGTCCTTATTTTCATGGAGGTGCAGCAGACAAATAAGTGAATAAATTAGCAAGATAACTCAGGTAAAGACAAACACTATGGAGAAAATTAAAAAGGGTATGGGACAGAAGAAGAGTGGGAAGGTCCTTCAAACTAGACAGTAGGGGTACATCCTACTGAAGAAGTCAGACCTGAAAGACCATGTAACTATGTGGAGACTGAAAATGTAAATCTTAAAAGAGGAAAGCAAATGCAAAAGTCTAGACAGTAGAAAGGGGTCTGACACAATGCGGGAAAAGGCTAGTGCCACTTACGAGAGGATTAAAGTTTTCTATGATAAACCAATTATTTACCTGCATATTACTGTGCCATTTATGAACTTTGGCTGAACTAGAATATGAAGCAATAAAACTTTCAACAAGATTAAAAGATACTTAGAAGGACAAAAAAAAAAAAAAAGCATTTTAAACCTCCCAAAAGATCTTAAATATGATAAATGCTTAAAACGTATTAAAAACAAAGTTCTTATCAAGTCTATAAGTATCTAATTGCTTTTCAAAATGTCAAGGAAAAAAGTACTTCCCAATGAAGTATTAATAAAAAAGACCACTGAAAACTGGGTGATTCAAAACCTGAATAATGCAAATGTTCTGCCATACAGAAGAACCAACTAGTCACAAACTCTCCTTTAAATATTTTTTATTATTATAACATGAAAACTAGCAATATATTAAAGTGTCTTCTTAAAAAGCTAGTTTTGAAATATTTATAAAGTTTCATTTTATAGTGAAACTAAATATAGTAAATATTTACTTTATAAGTAAAACTATTTATTAAAGGCATTATATTATGCTATAGACAAAGAAGCTTCATCAAATATAACAGGTAGATTTACTGGTTGAACCTAAAAGTAAAGAGGTAGTCTAAGACAACATAAAAATTACCCAATGTTCTGGCAGCAAAAAACGGTAACAGCACTTAAAACAGATCTTTAAATAATCACCCCAAACAGTAAATTTTGTTACAAATAATATCCCGAAGTCATGAATGTTTTCAATGATACTTAAAAAAATGAGATCCAAGAACATGCATTTCCTAGTTCATACTAAAGAACACTGTTTCAAGTAAAGTGCCATAGCACTTTTTTCCGTGAGAGTCAACTGAGGAGGAAAAAAGAGAGTTGTGTTATCTTCATGTTTAAATAAGAAAAATATACTTTCATCATCATAAATTACAACATCTGCAACTACAATTAAACCTTAGTTTATTATTTCCAAGTCACCAAAGGGATTTTTGTTTGCCTAGTATTTCACACCATACATTTCCCAGTGGCTCAGCGGGAAAGAACTCGCCTGCCAAAGCAGGAGACGTGGATTTGATTCCTGGGTTGGGAAGATCCCCTGGAGAAGGGCATGGCAACCCACTCCAGTATTCTTGCCTGGAGAATCCCATTAGCCTGTTGGGCTATGGTCCACGGGGTTGCAAAGAGATGGACAAAACTGAAGCGACTGAGCTCAGTACCACAATGACACCATACAATAAAGCTGCATTTTGGCCGTTGTGAGGATCAAATGAAACTGACATCAGAGTTGTACCACAGACCAGGGATAAAACAAACATCTAATTAACAGGATCATTAAGGCCCAGGAAAGCAAGAGGCAAGGGGTTATCTGTGAGGAGGGAGGGTGCTAGAGGTAACCTAAAAGGCAATCCAGAGAATTTGGTGGTGTGGGGATATAAAATACCACGTGAAAACATTTTCTAGTCCACTCTAAACCTGCTATACAACTAGGAGGGAACATTCTCATTTTTAAAACAGGAGAAGGTAATAGGAAACACTCATTAAGCCTTTCTGTATCTCTCTGTGCTCTTTTGCTCCAAGAACCAAATGCCATATAGGTGACAGGCCTGCAGCCTCTCAAAGCTAACAGCAACAGCAAGACAGAATTTACTCAGCTCCAAGAGAGCATTCTTAACGTCCCAACTCACCTGAAAGGGAGAGAGACTGCTAGTATCTGCTGACGTGGCTATTTTTAGTGTCTTGTTCCTTAAATTAGTGAGGCCGAACTGGTCTCGTGAAGTCTATGGGCTGCTCATCACTGATCAGGGGAAAAGTTTTAAAAGACTGACTTAACAACATGAATTTCTTTAAAAATATATTAAAAACTCAGCTAAGTATTTTTTTGTAATGGGGAAATGTATAACAAAGCACAGCTTTATCAAAAAATTGTTGTTCAATTATAATAGAAAATATAAGTCTCCAAGGCATTATCTTTAATTTCTTAAACAAAAGTCATTCAAGAAAAAGTTAAAAATTTGGTTAAAGAACCTAAGTGGCTCATTATGAATTACTCTTTCTGTTATTTAGATCTGAATGAGATGTCCTATGAGAATATTTTATAAACACATAAAATTACTCTCTTAAATGGTAGTTCCAGAGTACTAGAATACAACCTGAATCTGAAAATCCGTGAATTCTGTATCCACGTATCAATGACCAAAGCCACCTCAAGACACCGAGGAAAACTCTTCACTTTAATTTGCAATCAATATTTAATGAGTATTACCTCAGTTTCATAAAAAAGGAAAAGAGCATCAGTCAAAAGAAATTAGAAATGAAAGATTAGCTTTTCCAAAAATATTCTCCGACTTAGCCATCAAAGTCAAAGCACGTAACTTGCCAAGCAGATGTCCTGTTGAAACCCTTTACACCAAGGTAAAGACCAATACTAACTGGTCATTTCTCATTCTACTTGTAAAACAGAAGCTTTAATGCCAATGCAGGGCACTACAGATGCGTATCCTAGTAACTAATGAATGCTATTCCCTAATCACCAGGACGTGTTAAGTCTCAGTGTCAGTTCTACAATGAAAAAAATGAAGTAAATCCATCAAGAGGCCAAAGCAATTGATGAATCCAAAACTGAACCCAAATAACGAGCTAAATGCCACCATTCCCAGCCCCACTCCACTGCTCATCCAGGGTAGGTCTTTTGTGTTCAGAGCCCTCATTACCCTTCCTCCTGTAGACCGTCTGTCACCAAGCCCTATGAACCGAGACCCTCCAAGCTGCGGGGGCCACGACTGATTCTCAGTGATGATGCCTGAAGCCAGCAAAATTCTCATTCTTAAGCCTCTACATTTTCCTGACTTCTCACAATACATTTGTTAACACAAAGTAAGATTCTAATACAATATGTAATTTCAAAAAGCGGTAAAGTCAAACTACTAAACTGGATTGTCTAGGGATGCATTCATGGTAAATGAAATGCAAATGCATAAAAAGCAAGACAACAGTTACCTCCAGAGGAGGGGAGAAAAAGCCTTTGACTGAGACAAAACGGGTAGGGTAGGGAGATTTCTGGTAGCGCTGCAATGTTTTAATTCTCAGTCTGAGTGCTGGTTACACAGGTGCTGGCTTTCACATTATTCATTAGACTATATGTATACTGGTTTTATGTACTTCTCTGTTTATTACATTTCTCAATTAAAAATGTTTATAGAAAGGCAAGACCCCTTGACTCACAAAAAATATTTAAAATCACAAAATGTACAAATAAGATCAGAAATCCACTAAAAAGGATAATTTAACTAGTAAATATATACAGTTAAAAAATGTATACATGTAACTAGTAAATCATTGCTATTGTTCAGTCGCTAAATTGTGTCTGACTGTTCATGACCCCATGGATTATAGTATGCCAAGCTCCCCTGTCCTCCACCATCTCCTGGAGTTTGCTCAACTACTAAATACGTATGTTTAAAAAATACTTCTGTCCCGCCAGCAGCATTTTTCTCCTTATCAAAACAAACATTTGCCTCTCAAATTAATAAAAGTTAACGAAAGTATCACATCTACTACTGGTGAGCATGGTAAAATGGTTCTCATACTCTGAAGTGATCACTAAAGCAACTTTGCCTTTTGAGATAGAAATTCTTTAAATCTCCTAAACTATGAGACTAATTAAAGAATAAAGAGCCTACCCTCAATGCTTTTTTTTTAACAGCTAGAAGTCAGAACCAACAAAAAAATAGATAACAACATTATTTAAGAAAATAATGTAGATCTATTTGAGGAACTGTGAGTTACCCTTTAATTTGATCTTATGGTTACTGTAGTTATATTTTTAAAAAATCTTCACTGGAAATAAACATGGAAATATTTATGTATCAAATGATTATATAGGATTTCTACCCTTATAACAGGTAAGGGTATGAAAAGTAGGTGAGGATATGAAAGAAACAAGACTGGACAGTAGTTGATAACAGCTAAAACTGAGGAAGGAGAATTTTCTATACTGGTATTTGGTATATGTTGAAATTCCTCATAATTAAACAAAATTTTTTTAACTAGGGAAAAACTAAGGTGATGAACTGAAATTATGTATCTGCATCTTTTTAAGCAAAGAAAAACAGATACAATAGGAAGGAGGGAAGAAAAACAAATCAAAATCCTATGTTTATGTTAAGAAGCCGGTGTATTTTATTTCCAAACTTTGTTTTATTATGTTTATAGTTGAAATCTACCGAGCTATTTAATCTACTATTTTAAACATAATTTAAAGCAAATAGTTTCTAAATTCCAGTTAACCAGAGATTCCTGAACCTACCTAAGACAGATACAGTGAATTATTTTTCTGTTCGGCATCTACTTCAGATTCTTCCTGGCTTTTTAAGCTAGTGTTACAGCTGTTCTATTTTGAAACCTGGTTTCTTCCACTGCACATTTATGTATCAAATGTCTGTCTTAAAACCAGCATTTTGTTACTTTATATTTTAGCCAAAACCACGAATCTTGTCATTTCTTTCAGACAGTTAAAAAAAATCAAATATGGACAGTTCATGTGTGATTATATCCGTTACTCATAAACTGTTAATTAACTAATGCCATAATAAATATCGTACTTATCTGAAAAGTTTATTCTGCAGTTCTATTAAAATCTGTGTGCATATATGTCTCATTGTCATAAAGAAAAACTAAATGTAGGTAATTCATTCTGAAATACACTTACCAGGATGATTAGAAATGGGAGGCTGGAATGCAAGCTCATTGTGAACTGGTGGCCCTAAAGAAAAGACAGCAAAAAAAATCCCATTTTTATTTATTAAAAGTTTTCCAGTGCCAAAACTTTTAATAAACCTTTAAATATAACTATTATACCTTAGGAATTGTTTAGATCAAGTTTATACAGTGTCTAAGAACTTAAAAACTTGGTTTAAATTTATACTACGCAAGTAGTCTTGAAATCACTTTTTTCTTGAATTGCTTTTGCAGACATTTAATAGCCAACATTTTAATGCCATATGCCAACTATTAATTTATAATAACTATACATGCAAATAGTTTAAATACATGCAAACTTCAATGCAAATTATAAGTAAATTATTCATGTAACATGTAATATACTGTAAGATATATAATTATAATCCAAACTTAGGTCCATTTTAAAATAAGTGTTTATGGATTTATTAAATTAAGAATATTTACAAACTGGTAATAACTGAGAGATCATTATGTGTTAAGACATTATGTTAAACGAATCACATGAATTAATACATTTACTTCTTACAGCGTCCCTTGAAATATATACTATTATTATTACCCTTAAGGCTTAGGGAGGTTAAGTAACTTGCCAATGGTCACACAGGTAGTTAAGCGTTCACACTCAGCACCCTTAACAACTATGCTGGCCAGGCAGCCAGTAAAAGTTACACTCTCT